CTCTGTAGGGGCACACTGAGCCTTTGGGGCTACAGCTGCACCAGTGAGGTGGAGGGGCTGAGTTCTTCAAAGAAATGACCTTTTTTTCTGGCCTTTTTCAACATGAACATGCCTAAAATGGCAAAATCATTAAGCAGGTGCAAGGAAAGCCTGTAGGTCCTTTTCCCCCCAAACCCCTCCACCAGCTCAACTGGTGCAGGATGCCAGGATCCCATCTTGCACCAGACAGGCCTGTGTCAGCAGGGAAAAGTTAGCTGAAATCATGGTGTGAGGCTCACCAAACCAGCATTTCCTAGCATGATTTCTTTTCCACCAGGAAATATTGAATTGCCCTGGCGTAAATACGCCTTCAAAATGAAATCTTCCCTATGGTGGAGTATGTTCCAACAAAAATTAAATATAAAGTGGTTGAAGAAGTACCCTTTTCCTTGCTACCTACAACATTACCTCACAGGCTGATACAAGACATTTTTTTTAATACAGACACAACTTTTCTCCATATTTAATACTTAAAACACAGGCTTCTTTATAACACTACATCTTGTATGCCTCAAGCTCAGGGGTGGGGATGAGCCGCCTACCTCACTCGGGTGACAAGGGACATCTAGCGGCATTGCAGCTCCCAGCACCACTGCCGCTGCTCAGGCTGCAGGGACAGCAAACACAGCCACCTCACCTGTCCCCATGGCATCCCACCCCACCGCAGGAAAAACCTATGGCTGGTACAGGGAGTAACAGCTCTCTGCCTTCCCCAGCCTCTCATCCTACCTTTATGTGCACTTTCTCTCCGTTGAGTATGCTCAGTTCTGCTCCACCATTAAGTTTCCTTAATAATATAATAATATATTATACATATAAATATATTTTCAGTAAGAGGCTGGCTATCTCAGTGACAAAGGCCTGCCATGGATAGGAAAGCATGTAGCCTGCTCCCTTTATTCGGAGAAACATACAGTGTAGGAGGAATGCCTGTCTGTGTGAAAGTAAAATAAATCAGTGTGTGATTAGAACAAGACTCTTGAAAATTGCAACCACGTGTCCTGGCAAAATTTTCATTTTGTTTAATTAAAAGAAATAACAAATAATGGCATGACATCCGGCTTAATTATTCACATCACTAATAAAAATTCAACACACTGTCATTAGAAACAGAGCAGTACATACTGAAAGAGGGTGGCTTTAGATTAGGTATAAGGAAGAAATTCTTTAACGTGAGGGTGGTGAGGCACTGGAACAGATTGCCCAGGGAAGTGGTGGATGCCCCATTCCTGGAAGTGTTTATGTTGGATGGGGCTCTGAGCAACCTGGTCTACTGGAAGGTGTCTCTGCCCATGGCAGGGGCGTTGGAATTAGGTGATCTTTAAGGTCCTTTCTAACCCAAAATCTGTGATTTATGATACTTAAGAAATGAGTTTCACAGAATGTCAATTTCTTTCACAAGAAATATTTTGTTGCATGGCTTGAAAAACTGACTGAGATTGTCCCCTAATTGCTCCAATTTCCCACTCCTGACATTTAGCATAACACCTGACTGGCATGGAACCCGCTACACAAGCAGAACTGCGCTTGCACACAATTTCTCTGCTGCTGAGTGGAGTGTGGTGGCCCTCCCATCCCCAACAGCGCCCAGTTGGGGCTCCCAGTTGGGGCTACAATGACAGACTGCCTGAGGGCTACTTTTTTCGTAGGATTTATAAGCTTCACCTGAAAACACACTCCCCAAAACCTGAGGTTTCAGTTCCACAGGAGGAGTTTTGATGTTCCTGTCTTTCACGGTAGCATCAAAATACTGCTGGTTTTTTGAGGGTTTTGGTTTTATTTTTTTCTCCTTTCTGCCTCGTTTAGATTCCCTTATGAAGACATTGGAGCTGGAGGAGGAACACAGCATCACATGAGTGAAAGAGTAACAGAGGGCTGGAAGCAGTGCTAAACTGGTGGTGGTGGCCAAAGTTCTCCAACTTGGTTTTAAGAGACCTCACATGGCTGTGGTTCACCTGCATCTCAGCCTGGACTTGTCACATATGTTTAAGAATAGCTGATTTATTAGTTTTCCTCTTATGTTCTGTTCCAAAAATTATGAAGAACATTTGTGGCTGGGAGCAAGTAAAAAATGGCCCTTCGAGAGGCGCCAGAAACACAGAAACACTGACTCATTAAACTCACTTTCAGTTTGTTTGGTTGCCTGTCTTTTCCTATCCCTACCCTTTTTTTTCTCTGCAAACTTCCCCCGATCATCTCTCCCAGGTTTATTGCTTTACCCATTCACCGTCTTTCCCCTTTCTCTGCAAAGCTCTCTAAATTTCTTTTTTTAATACTTTTTTCCCTTCCTGTTTCCTACTTCACATACATGTGTCCTCTCTACTGCCACCTCCTGCAAACACTGTAACCCTCCCAGAATAAGACCACAGGCCAAAAAGGAAAGGAGACAGGGAACACAGAGCCTTATAGAGCAAAAAAATAATGTGAGCACTTTTTCACGGGAAATATTTAAAGAAACAGGCCTGTCTTTCCCATTTGATATTCTTCTTAGCGAAAAACAAAACAAAACAAAACAAAACACAACAATTCAAACAAACTACTTTTTCTATTAAAGCATTTCACTGAAATTCAAACAAAATGACGCTTACGTGTACACCTGCATATTGTCTTCTTTTTCTTATCCTCCCCATTTTCTTTCCCTTTTTTCCCTGAACAAAACCACTATGCAGAAATACATAAACCACCATCTCATTTTCCCCAGAGTTCATTGTGGCTATAACACCTATGTGTATCTCAAACCTGTAGATGGCAAATTGCTACCACAACTCCATGATTAAAATCTTCCAGGGAGCATACAACACCTTTCATGGCCCTTCCACTGCTCAGAGCAGAAACCTTCTCCTCACTCTGAGCAGCCAGTCCTGGGAGAGGAGGAGAGACACAGTTTTAAAACATCATTAAAAATTAGTTTTGAAATGAATGTGAGAAATGTCACAAGGAAAGGTAACCGGCCCAGGCTCACCTGAGCTCAGTAGAATATTATTTTGGTATGGAAACAAGGACCACCAAACCGAGATATTTCTGCGAAGTACCCAAACCATCAGCAAAGGGATGCTTTGTTTTAGGTAGCGGTGACCCTAAAACTAAGCTTAAGAGGACCAGTTCCACCCGCAGGCACAGCCGGTTCTGGCAGGCGAGGCTCGGTAGCCAGCAGTTGGCACTGTTGTTCCACGGGAGAGGGGACGGGCAGCACCAGCCAGGGATGCAGCAGCAGCAGCAGCAGAGCGCAAGCCCAGGGGCTGGTCTTCTGAGCATCACTTGTAAACACAGTCCTGATACACACACACTGCCTGTACCTGAGCACACCCACTCTTCACACACACTGCCCAGTCATGTCATGAGGAAGGAGAAAATATTTCCATCATTGATACAAATACCATGCTTGCTCAGACTCTACAAGTGCAAATCTAATCTGTCTGGCAGGACAGGTGGAACACAGAGTGATGTGCTGCAGAAGAGCTGGGAAGTTCAGATTGATTTGCCACATGTCACAAAGTAGCAAATGACAAAATCCTTCACAAAAGCAACAAGATAATTCCAAACTCACTCCAAGAATATCTAGTAAAGGGAAGCTTTTTTCCAAATAAGAGGGCCTCTTCTCTCCTTCAGTGGTTTGCTATTTGCAGCGCAGCCCAAAGTAGTGGTAGTTAGTGTAGATGAGCAAAGCAAGGTTGAAAGAGGGGATATCACAACGGAAAGGCAGCCCTTGCAGAACATGCTGTTACAAAGGAAGAGGCATTTGTTGATTTTTCCCATCCCAGACCCCTTCAGTACTTCACAAGGCTTGGAAAAGTCAGAGCACAGCAAAAGGAAAACTCAGATCCTGTTTTTTTACAACTACCTTACCTGCTCCTCACTCAAAAAAATAAAATAAAATAAGACAGTTAAAACTACTTACACTTGTGTAGCAGGGGCAGAGAGAATCTCACTGGGAAAAAAATACTGCCTCCACACACAGCCCTTCTCCTCTTAGCCCTTAGTAGTAAAAGTCTTGGCAAAAATGTTAAGTAGGGAAGAATATGTAAGAATTAAATAGAAACAAGTTAAATTTAAAGAAAAGGTAATAAATTGGAAACATCTGGGCGGGAACTTTAAAAAAGAAAACAAAACAGAACAAACCCACCACATTTCATTGTGGATCCATGGAAAAGGAAACCAGTACATGAGTACTTCAGTACATAACATGGGGAATTTTATCAATCTCTAAGCACAGGAGCATGAAAGCTTGTCTGAAGAAAGGGTAGGTATCTGAGCTTTGCCTGTGCTCCTGCTCAGTACCAGAGCTATTTCATCATGATGGGATGCTCTGTAATCAAGGTAATAACTGGCTTTGAACACAAAAAAGATAGAATGGTGGAGAAAATTCTGGGCTAAAAAAATTAGATGGTTAAGGATGAGAGATTGTTACTCAAGGTCTTTCTGTTGGTCACTGGTTTGAGGAGGGGAAAAAGACCTCGTGATATGAGAAAGAGAAAGGAAAAAAAAAAAGAAGACTTGCTGAGAAATAACAAAGAAACATTCAAAGAAATTAATTCTGGGATTTGGAAAAGTAAAGTGGCCAAGGAGCGAGAGCAGAAGTTTCCCAGTGCATTAAAAAAAATCCAAAAACAAGACACAGCTTTGTCTAAAAACGTGCCACAAGAAAAATATGACAACAGCAGCAGCAAAATCCTTTTCTGCTGTGATTGCAGCAGCAGCAATGCCAGAGTACATCGGGTGGCATGTATACATTGCATTTGGTTCAATGGCCTGAAAAATAAGTAATTAGTTCCTTTGCATTGAGAAAACTTTGCATTTCTCAGACTAGGGAGAAAGAGAAGGCAGTTTAGCACTACATTACCATGTCTGCCTGTTGCAATGGTCCTCATAGTGGGGGAGCAGCCTTTTTGGAGCTGCACCTGAGTTCCTCTAGCTGTTATTGGCACAGCCTCAAAGATAACTTTGCCAAAGAGTTGTCCTTCTGCGAGCACATCAGAGCAAGCTTACCACCAAGCACATAATGCCAAGGAAATTTTTCATAAATCCTAAAAGAAAACAGGATGATATTAGTGAACCTCTTTTAATCTGCGTTCAGTATTTATTTACTGCATTGCCTTGCATGGATATCTATATTTACATACATTCTCCTTAGTCACAGCAGTATATAAGCATATGGATAAAGGGGATACAGTGTTGTCTCTTTTAGTTTTACCCCACGCTAAGTCCCCAGTTATTGTCCAAGGGGACATGAAATATGACTGCGAAAATCAGTGTACTGTATTGAGAAATCAGCACTGACTTTTGAAAGTCTGTGTCATACAGCAGGGTCTCACTGCATTGTGTAAGTCATGAATGTCCTACATATTCTGTAAATTCACATTAAAAAATCAAATTACAAAGTTTAAATTATTTTTTATTATGGACTGGGGTCTCCACTTGCAGAGACAGAGGTAATATAAAACCCATCAGCTTATTTCAGGAAGACAGCATCAGTTCTACACCAGTTATACCCATTCTGCATTTGGAAGTCCCACCACCATCCCCGGGTTTGCAGCACAGAGTCTAAGAGCTGAGCTTTGCCTGTATCCAGTAATTCAATTTGCCGGTTTCTTTCACAGGGGAAATTTGACACAAGACACCTTTAATCTCACTGCTGCCTCTGCCCATCACTTTAAAGGAAGCTGCAGCAACAGTGGAAAAACTAGATGCCTCTAGTTAAAGGGAAATCTGGATTTTAAAATGTCACTACTAGACGTCCCCTTAGCTCTAGCCAACCAAGTCGAGGTCCTTCCGTAGCCTTGATGGCTTCTTCCAGCCACCCTGTGCAACACCAGCGGCCAGGAAAGGAGCAAGGACTCTCCAGGGACTCTACCTACCACCTCACAGTTTTTAGACCATGTTAGCTGCACCCATGATTTATGTACTACTGTCACACCCCGTGCTTGCCAAGCAGAAACATACCTTAAGTGTTAGCGGTTGGCTGAGAAGAATGGGTCCATTCAGGCCTGGTTGCAGCCTGTCTTTGCCTTTCTGACTGCCTGGGGAAAGCCACTGAGGTGGATATGCACCAATTCTGATCCCAGCAGGTCTAGAAATTTCCTCTGATATCCTAATGAAGAAGTAGAGGTTCAGCGGGTGTAAGGTAAAGCAGCTGTCAAGGGAGCCAGTCTACACTCTCTGTGAATGGTCCTTACCTTTCAGAAGAGAAGATCTTACATTCCCCACATCCTGCCTGTGACATGAGGTTAGATAAAATATGTTTAGGAGGCATGACCTGGCCTGTAGCCCAGCTGTCCGACCACAGTAACCACACTCTTTCCTTATAAACAAGACACTGTTCCTTCTGGGTATCTGCGATTTGCCAGTTCAGCTTTATTCAGCTCGCTAGAATGATTTTTGTTGTTGTTGTTGTTGTTAATGGATTTTCCAAAATCAAAACAACGGCTGTGGAACGCCATTAAAAAACACTGCTTTTCCTGAAGCTTTGGTGAAACATGGAAAAATCATCTGTTGCACAGCCACTTGAAGTGGGTTGTTTAGCTGCTTGAAAAAGTTCTCAAGGAAACTTCCCTGAGAGATGTGGTCACCTACCGAGACTGACACTCACACCTTATGTCATAGCTCAAAAGAATGAGATCATCATCACTTCAGGCATTTCAAGCTGGGATAGAAGGATCAGTTGAGAGTTAAGTTCCGCTCTATCAGAGTGTCAAGAGAATAGAGTAAATGACCCAAGGGAGGATTTTCTTTCTGCTCCCCAATTAAAGCCACAACCACTAACCTTTTCCCTAATAATTTTCGCTCCTCATTAATATAAATTCAATAATCTCTCTGCCAACAGGGAGTATTGTGAATAACTCATCAAGTAAATTGCTTGGACATAGTTACAAATATTCCACTAATAATCACCACAAGATCTCCTGCTGTCTTACTGCGCTCAGGTATTTCACTGTTGACTCTGGTACACACCTGTAATTGTCACTCTAATCAGAATGAGGTTCCAGAATCACTGCTGCTCCTGCTCCTGAGGATGGCAGATCGCAAATGCATACCAAGAAAACACAATCTCTTTGTAACACACCTTCTTATATTCCTTCTCATATTCCCTTCACAGTATCCAAGCCTTGCCACTCACTGAATACTATCAGTCAGGAACACATGTAGGTGATTTAAATCTGTACTGGAATGGTAAGAGTGGAGTTTTCTGTCTTCCAGTCAAGACCCTGCTCAGCCAGAAAGGCCCCTAAGTCACTTTCTGAGATGTGATTTGGCTTTCTTCTCTGTTCTCTCAGAAATTCAAACATTATATGTTAAAGCAGGCAGAGCATCATAATGTATATGCATTGGAGTTTTTGGGGGGTTAGGGCAAGAAGTAAGTCTTTAAATCACAGGAAGGGAGGTTCGGGTGAGGTGTAAAGGCCTCTTTTCCAGCAGTAGGGATAATGAAATAGTGGAGCGGAGCACTTGGGGATGGTGTGGGATCTTGAACACTGGACATCCTTGAGGACAGGTCACAAAAGCAACCCCAAGAGACATTTGCCTGAAGTTGATTCTCCTTTTGAACATGTCCCCAGCCCCATCACCTCTCTGGTACCACAGTAACACAGTGGGAACAGTCTTTTCCTCTAGTTTAAAATGAGATATGCTCCTCTGGGTACTGTGACAGTAGCAGTTACAGAAGATGCAGAAACTCTTTCTCTTTCAGACACCAGCTGGGGTTATTTTACAGGGACAACTTTCCAATCAAAAAGGAGGCAGAGCTAAACCATTTCTTTGCCAACTCCACCCTCCGTAAGTATATGCCAATCTTTCTTTGGACTTTGCCCATGAATTTGAAAGGTAACCAGAAAGCATCAGATAAGAAACTGGACACATCAAAATAGTCAAACAAAACCTGAAGGACTTTGACAATAAACACGCATGGAGTGAAGACACTTTCACACAGATTCCTCACTTCAGCATGCAGGAAGACCTACAGCAGGAATTTCATTTGGGGCAGAAAAATACAACATTGAGATCTTTATAGCAATCTCTAGCTACTCTCTCTAGTACTTTTTGTCCCCCACAGAGATCACAAGCTCACAGAGGTGCCATCTTCTGGGCACCATACAAGCACGGGACAAGTGCGGGAACGCCCTGAATGGTAACGTAATACAAACAGAGATAAGGGAAGAGGAACAACAGCGAACAAATGCAATGCACTCTGATTACCAGAAAAATCCTGGCTTGCTTCCTAGAGAAGCTGTGGTGGCAGAAGCTGTGGTGGCACCTGAATCAAAGAGGCCTCCCGGAGCAGAGGGCAACATAGTGTTAGCCAAAATACCTTGGGGCTAAATAGATCAGATAAGCACGTCATCACCATGACAAAGCAAAAGATATCCATAGAAGGACAACTGAAAGATTCAGTGTGCTCACGCCACTCTAAAAGGCTTAAACAAACTAAGCTTAAAACAGTTCAGTTGGTTTATCTTTTTAGATAATTTACAGAGCAGTATCGTACCATCACAGCAGGGCCCACTCAGGACATGGGGATCACCCCAGCTCTGTCCCCTCACCAGAATACCTCTCCTGGCAGAAGCTGGGTGGGATGTGCGGTGCTGCTGATGGAAGGAGGCTCAGATGCCTTAGCCTATGTCCCTTGGAGGTGATGCAGATTTGATGGCCAAAGGGGCCCTCAGCATGGCAGCAGCCCACAGTCATTTACACCAGATTCCTTCAACAGACTCAAATGCACTCCTAAATCAGTCTGAAACTACGTCCTCCTCTGCATTCACTCCTAAACTTAATACAGTTTGTGTCAGATTCATCCTTTCTCTCCCTCTCTCAATCACATCCACGCACACAGAAACACTAAAAAGACAGGCAATTCACTGTTCAGTGTTATTTCGTGAGTTCCACTTTCTAATGACACTCCCCAAACCTGCTACCTCTTCTTAAGGTTAAAATACAGACTTTCACTCTGATCATTTCAGAAAGGGTAGAGTTATTACTTTGCTTCCAGCTAAGCAAATTAACTGAATTTGCAAATCACAGCTACCTTCACAATTGTAGCACTAACACAGGGAAAATGGCACCTCAGCTGGAAAGTCTTTCAGCTCCTGATGTCTGAGAGCAAACTTTCTTGGACCTATGAAAGCAAATTATTTTTCTATTTGAACAGAACTCCTTCCTGCCACTTTGATACCAGGCTGCTATCACTATTCGAGTACGCAAATCTGACCAAGCCACCAACATAAATGTTAAAAATCTCCCTGGGAATAAAAGTACTGTTTGTACAAACTTTAACATCCTTCTCCCACCTTCCAAGCAAAGGCTACTCTAGCAGCTGGTAGAATGAGGCTCTCCCAGTGAGGTGGGAGCGGAAACACGACAGCTTATCCTTATGCACTGTCTTCAGTGTTTTGCTGAGTTAGGAAAGGACAGGACACCAAACACATTCCAAGGCACTCTGCCAAGCTGGGGCCCAAAGGGTAAACAGAAAGTAATACACAGGATGCAAAAGCGTCTTTAAAGAAAAGAAAAAGAAGAAAGGGGCACCAGGTGGTCACTGAAATGATCCAGAACAGAGGAATGCGAATGAACATTTCGAGTTCTGCTCTTAACACCTTATTAAACGTATAAGGATCTGTGTCTTAGGAGCAGGCTGTTCTGGGAGAGCCATGTCAGGCTGAGATTTTGCAAATAATCCATCTCCTCCCCAGTCACCGATGAAGTCACCACCTCAGCGCCCAAGCATCCCTCTCTTTCCAGCACTACAGTTAAGCATAATCGCCCCAAACATTTTTTTCCCTGATTAAACTGACTTCCAGTGCCATTACAGTAAATTACCACAAGCAGGTTTTGTTCATTTGCTTTTTAACTGCGGACTCATATAACACAGCGTGCAAACCCTAACGAAGGGCGTTTGTACGCCAGTGAGGGTCGATACCACAGTTTAACAGAGAGCAGCTTTGTAAAGGGAGAACAAGGCTACTGCAGTGTGCTCTAGGGCTTTTACTTCCTATGGCCAGCGCCGGATCTCTGTTCCGTGTTAATGAACAGCTGCTGTTCATTCAGCCATCGAGGTGGTCCGCTGGGACGGGCCGCTGTGGGACAATTCGGAGGGGACACGCCGCATGCAAAGCCCCTCCGCCTATCTGAGCACTTGGCATGAACAATGCTGGCCAAACCATCCGTGCATATCACAAAACTCGGGAAGTCACACAGCATCATTTAGGTCTCATGCTCTTTGGTTCAAAGGCAGAGTGGTGCAGAAAAGGGCTCTGCTGCTCAGAGAAATAAGCTCTCTTAGAGCCAAGAGGTGGCCATTACAAAAGCTGTGTTCCTTCAGCCAGGTATTCCAGAAGAGTCTTTGGGCTGTGATGAGGCCTTTCCATCTGGTGGGACACTCTCCCATACAAGCTAATGTTCCAGTGATTTTCATTCAATCTCAGGTGACCCTTTTTTTTTTGAGGAGGTGTGAAGACAGTGTATTAATTGCCGTCTGCTCTTAATTGTTTTTCCTAAGCTAAAATAACTCAAAAGTCAATTATTTAAAAAAAGCCACAAAATCAAACGAACAATAAACAAACAAAACCCCAAACCCACACAGCAACAACAAAAACCCCCACAAAACACACCTTCATGCTGAAATAAGAGTCCAGGCACTTGCAGTAGTTTACTGGAAACCTGCTTAAATACACGGCTTTAATTAAAAGGGTGTAGTTTTGTTTTTTTTACACAAGCCTCAAGAGAGAGCCTTGCCCAGGAAAGGTGATGGGGACAGGGGGTGAAGGCCAGCCCAAATAAAACCTGGCCATGTGACCATAGAATATTTTTGTGCTATCCTTTCCTTCCCAACTAGTTGTCCATCCTGTCTGGGAACCTGGCTGCCTCCCTAAGCACACGTGAAGGATGAGCCATGCTCCCAGCCTATGTGCTGCAGCTTCACTGGTCTCACGACAGCCTCAGTCAGCCTCCCCTTATCTTTATTCTCTCTCCCTCGAAAAAGCAAATAAAACCCCCTGAGCCTCTCCAAAGCCAGTTGCCAAGCAGAAATGAAGCAGAAATCCCAAACAGAAACATTGTGACTAGATTATTTACAGGCAAATACATACATGGCAATTGCTG